GTATTCAAGTCGAAATTACGCAACCATCTTACACCGGAAAGCATAAAGGCACTGTTAACGGTCTCATTCCCGAACACTCAGCTTCTTGACTTCGAGAAGGGTCCTCCTGGGATTTAGTGGTAGATTAAGTGGTAACTCTTAACTATATCATTAGAAACCCCTGTTTTTAATTGGTTTGTAAATCCATCGCTATCCTTCCCCCCATAGCGACAATTTTCGCGGTTTATGATGTCATCTCCCGCATTCCGACCTCATGCGCTCACGGCGGAACCCTTAGTATTCACTGTCTACTAGTAGTTCGGTCGAACCTCCCTTCCTCACTGCTCGGCTGAGCTCGAAGCGTGCTGTGGCCGATCGCATTTCGGTTCCTCTCGTCTGGCCTCCTTGACGCGGCGTACCAATCCGGCCCAGACGATCTCAATTGTGAATCCCGTATACAATGCCATTTGCAAGCCAGTCCTGTCTGACCCACATTCGTACCCATCAAGGCGGACATTTATTGATACCCCGACGATGACCGACAACATTCCGTTATATACCGCCACCTACAGGCCAGTCCTGCTCGCTTTTTTCTGTTACTATTTTTAAAGAGGGGTTTTTTCTCCTGAAAAATTAATCCAATCATTTTTACCTTTTTCCGAGGAGTTTTTTTCACCCCTCAATCACCATGTTTCTCAATGGACTTCTAATTCAGAAACTATGAATTGCATTTTGTAAAGATTCGGCCTACCTCGTCTAAAACTCGCATGCAAATTTATTTTAACTTGCTTTGATGGGACCCCGACGGGTCTTTAATAAAGATTATCTGTCTATCTATCTATCTATCTATAGGAGTGAGCCACATCGAAGTAATGGAAGGATGATTCCTCACCAACAATGATGTCAAATAATACAGGAACGAGAGAGGGTCGCATAATAGCATTACCGACAAAGACAAGGGAGACTGAAATGGCCATCTCTGGTTTATTGGCCGTCGTCAACCAGCCATACCCAATCCCGAACTGCGGCAAACCCGTCACAACTGACAAGACAACGAGCCCGTGACTCAGTGTTTAGAGGCGTTGAACTTCTAACCAACAAGTGGCAAAATCCACCCTCAGGCATCCCACGCTTCGAGGTTGGGTATGGCTGGCTGACGAAGACGACGACGACGACGACCGATAAATCAGAACTGGCCATTGCAATTTCCTTTGTGTTTGTCGGTAATGCTTTCTTACTTACATCATGCACCGCTCGACGGTTGCTGGTTGTGCTCATGATTGATCCCTAAGGCACAATGGGACTTGTGACTTCCGTACAGTCGATTAGAGGGTCGCAGTCAGAAAACAGAGCGCGCTGATTTTGGATAGACAGAAACGGAATGGAACAGATCCACCCTAATACGTATTAAGCACTGCCAGTCTTCTTAGAAAACTAAAGAACACCTTAAATAAACTCGTCTATTCCGATTGCATATTGGCTGTATTTACTTTGGGTTTCAACTCAGTAATTTGCGAGCAAATTGAAAGCTTGTAAACAAAAAAAAACGTCCAGTATTAAATGTGTATGTACATGTTGACTGGCCGAGTGGTTTCGCAGATGTCTTCTGTCCTTCAGTTTGAACACATGCTCCATGCTGTGTCTCGGGGATTGAAATCCGACCCATAATATGCGGTAATATTATTTAAACGGAATGCAAATCCGAGAAAAAGAAACTGAGAAAGATCTCCGACTCCGGATTGCAGACACACTAAACCTTTTTCCGGAATGTCCAGAGGCCGTTAAATCCGAAACTTCTATGCTGTGTGCTATCTGACGGGCACTCACAGTCTTAGATGAAGAATGCTTCTCCAAAGTCTTTGGAAATTTGCAAGGTCGCAGCCTGAATTAAAATCCAGACTTGGAGACGATGGACGCAGGAGGATTTCAATTTACACGACGGGTGTGACGTAAATAGTAATGTTCCCACGAACTGAGCAGTGAATGATATAGAGAAATCAGACATCAGAGCACGACGGCGGAACACGCTAGCAAGGCGGGTTATACAGGTGGGTTGTTTCACGTCAAATTCAAACAAGCAA